TTGCCGCCAAACCCGCCACTACCATCGCTACCACCGTGTTGCCGTTGATGCTGTCGCCCGCGCCACCACCGCTGCCACTGCCGCCCGCCACTGCCACCCTGTTGCCCTACCGTTGCCTGATGTGCCATCTTATTGCTATTCTACTATCTTAATATATGGTATTTTTAATAAAATATATATATTAAGTTCAAGTTTATCATTTTATTTGACTTTATATTTTAAGATATATTTTACTCAACTTTTCTACTTGATCTTGTATTTTTTTTATAGATTTATTTATAATGAGTACTTCAACATCTTCAACTGCTTCTTTTATGGTTCCAACTACTATCACTGCATCCCAACATTTTCAAGCTCTTTTCTTTCTACCATTCAGTGTGGATGGAAACAAGTATCTATTATGACAAAAATGGCAAAAGTAAATTTATTTGCAGAACAACTCTCGGATGCCATTATGTTTGAACAAACTCCTACAACAAGTATTTTTGTATCTCATGCTATTCATTGGAAAGCACTTCTTCTCCTTCATCATCATCTTGTACCTGCCATACAACATCAATATTTAGAAATGGAAGATCTTGCAAAACTTTAGAAGAATCTTAAATCTAGGTTTGATCATCAAAAGACCATTTTTCTTCCACGTGCACGTCATAATTGGACATATTTATATATGTTGGATTTTCTAAATTTAAATGCTTTCAATAGTGAAATATATAGTATTATCTCACAATTATGATTATGTGGACAAAGCATTTCTGAAGAAGAAATGATTCAAAAAACTCTCTCTACATTTCCTCATGTATTTGCTGTACTTGCACAATAATACAAGAACATGAAATTTTAGAGTCATTTTGATCTCATGTCCTATCTACTTCTTGCAGAGAAGTAAAATGAGCTACTCTTACGCAATGCGGAAGCTCGTCCTATTAGAACTACAGTTCTAGAATCTCATGCACTTGATATTTCAAAGTCTAAGAAGAAATTATATAAACATGGGAAACGTGCTCATAAGTATCAGGGTAGTCATAGTCAAGACCATTTCTATCCATATGGAAAGAATAAACGTTCTACTATTAATTATAGTATAAATCAAAGATGTGTTCTTGCCATAAGTGCGGAATGATTGGAAATTTAGGACATGCGTGCCATACTTCAAAATATTTTATTAAAATGTTCTAAGAAAATAAGAAATTACGAGCTGAGGCTCGTGAAGTTCATACCATGGATGCGTCCATGGATTCAATTGGTGTTGATGACTTAGAGGCTTATATGAATGATAGAACCTCTAACGATGAATCAAATGATGTGCTCATTGATTTTGCAACAACACATACTATCTTGCGAGATAGATGATTTTTTATTGAAAAATCTTCAACTTAGTAAACTAAAAATATGATGACCATGGCTAGAGTAAATGTGTTTTGTTTCCAAGAGGGCACTGCAATGGTAAAATTACCTGCGAATTCCATCATAAAATATAAACATGCAATGTTTGCACCCTCAGTACCTCGGAGTCTGATCAGCTACCAAGATGTGTGTACTAATGGTTATTACCTCTCGACCGCTATTTTAAATAGAAAAGAGGTTTTGGTTCTTGCGAAGAACCATAAAGTTGTTGAAAAAGCTTTTGCTACAGAAAATGGTTTATACCGAATTGTGATTTGGCCTCCCATTATATTTAATTTTGCATCATCTATCTCAGAGAGTTGTGTTTCTCTCTGGCATGGACTATTGAGACATCCAGGATCCACATTATTTAGAGAGATTATTCCATATATAATTGGATACAATTTAAAGCCTGTGGATGTAGTCTCTATGGAATTATGTCATGCATGCGCGCAAAGAAAAATAATTACTCAGCCTTTAATTTGGAAACTTCCACAAGAATTACCACCAATGCTTGAAAGATTGGATGGTGATATTTGTGGTCCTATTAATCCATTATGAGGACCATTTCGTTATTTTTTGGTCCTTGTTGATGCATCAGGTAAACAATCACATGTTTCATTATTATCAATTCGAAGCATTGTGTTTGTCAATCTTATATCTATACTTATTTGCTTTTGGGCATATTTTCTTGATTATCTTATAAAAACATTGCGTATGGATAATGCAAAAGAATTTGCATCAAAGTCTTTTGAAAACTATTGTACTGCAACAGGAATTGAGTTGATATATTGTGTTCCATATGAACATGCTCAAAATAGACTTACAAAGTCATTTATAAAGCATATACAACTCATTACCCGGCCACTCCTCCTTCACTCAAATCTACATGCATCTATGTGGGGTCATGCAATTTTACATACTGCAGCATTAATACGCCTCCACCTTTCTTCTCTTGAAATTATTTCACGACATGAGCTCATTTTGGATCGTATTCCAAATGTATCTCACTTACGAGTATGTGGTTGCCGTGCTTGGATTCCAGTACCAGAACCTCAATGGCATACCGTTGGAGTTCATCAACAAAAAAGCATATATGTTGGTTTTGATTCACCAAGCATCATTTGTAATGTTGATCCATCAACTAGCACATTATTACATGCATGTTTGCAAAATTGTCGTTTTGAAGAAACTGTATTCCCATCTCTTCAAGGGGGAGTTTCCAATCAGCAAAGAAATAAAGTACTCATATTTGAAGCACCAAAATCATTTACAATGAATCCCGATCCTATGACATCTTTGATAGAAACTGAAATTGCTAAGATATTTTATTTAAAATAGATCACGGATGAAACACCTGATCGCTTCAATGATGCATCTATAATTACAAGAGTTCCTATTAATGAAGCTCAGAATGCACCATCTCAGATTGCAGTGCCATTGACTACAATACCTCAAGTTATAACAACAACAACTAAAAGAATTCATGGACCAGATAAGCAACCACATAAAAAGAAAGCTATAAAATTAACTAATCCTGGTATTATTTCTCAAGAAATTGCCACTCATCTTGCACGACTACCAATTCATGTTGATATATCCATGCATAATGTACCTTCAATTCCTATGAAAAACAATCTTGGAATTGGAAGGAATAAAAAGAAGTTGAGTAAAGAATTATCTATTCTATATTGTGCTACATATGATATTTGGGACAGACCATCTATTACGGTAGATGAATCATTTGCATATGTGATTATAGAAGCCATTTCTTGCAAGGAAGACGATCCTGAACCTCAAACCATCGAAGAGGTGATGCGTCGCTCAAATTGGTCAAAATAGAAAACTGCTATTGAGGAGGAGTATGCGTCTTTGCATTAGAGGAAAGTCTTTAGTCCCATTGTAGACAATCTTACATCTCGCCCTGTGGGATATAAAATGGTATTAATACGCAAGCGAGATGCTCAAGGCCAAATAATCCACTATAAAGCTCGTCTTGTTGTTCAAGGATTTACTCAATGATTTGGCATTGATTATGAATCCACATATTCTCTAGTCATGGATTCAATTACATTTCGACATATTATTGGAATGACAGTTCATGCCACCCTTGAGATGCATCTGATGGATATAGTAACTATATATCTATATGGTTCTCTTGATGCAAATATTTATATGAAAGTTCCACCTAGCTTAGAAATAGGAACTCCAAATCAATCCGATCCAGGAAAATATCATGGTATTAAATTATGTAAGGCCTTGTATGGTTTAAAACAATCTGAACGAATGTGGTATCAACCTCTTTGAGATTATTTAATTGCAAATAATTTTATAAGTGATCCACTAATCCCTTATTTGTTTATCAAATGAGATAAAATTGATTTTGTGATCATCGTTGTATATGTTGATGATCTTAATCTAGTAGGCACTACATCTGCAAGTGTTACAGCTACTAACCTATTTATACGTGAATTTGAGATGAAAATGCTAGGAAAAACAACTTTCTACATTGGTCTTCAAATTATGCATCTAACAGATAGTAGCATTTTTCTCTACCAATTAATGTATATTAAACGAATTTTATGAAGATTTAATATGATTGATGCTTATCCATTGTCCACACCAATGGTTGGACGTAGTTGTGATGGTCATGATCCATACTGTCCATGCGAGGAGAAAGAGGAAATATTGGGAGACCAATATCCATACCTCGCAGCGGTTGGAGCACTTTTGAATTTAGCTACATCTACAAGATCAGATATTGCATTTGCAGTTAGTGTTCTTGCAAGACATAGTGCACATCCAACACTACGACATTGGAATGGCATCAAATATTTATTATGTTATTTAAAAGGTACTAAAGACTTGGGATTATACTATACAAAATCCGCAGATCTAAAATTGGTTGGATATTGTGATGCAAGATATAAATCTGATATTGCAATAGCTAAATCTCAAATAGGATATGTATTTCTAAGACATGGAGCTGCAATATCATAGAAATCGATGAAACAAACAATAACTGAAACTTCATCCAACCATGCAAAAATTATTGCCTTACATGAAGCATCTCGAGAATGTATTTGGTTGCGATCAATTGATAAATTCATTCAAACAACCTATAGATTTTCATATGATGATTCTCCAATTATCTTTCATGAAGATAATAGTGTTTGTATTGCACAGATGCAAGTTGGTTTCATTATAGGTGACATGACAAAGCATATTGATCCAAAGTATTTTAGTTATACTCATGATTTGATTACTAATCAAGCACTTATAATTAAGAAAATTGAATCTACAAATAGCCTTGCTAATCTCTTCACCAAAGCTCTCTCATTAAGCAACCATCGTCGACTTACTTATCGCATTGATATGCGACGACTTGCTTTTCTTGAATAAGAAAGTTAATGAGCTCTTTACATAATAAAAGAAATTGATGTTGTATTTTTTCTCCTTCATCTATGGTTTTGTCCTTAAATAAAGTAATATTTTCCTAGTTAAGGTTTTAATGAGGCAACAATTATTGATCTTCCAAGATCACAGAAAAGTATAGATCATAATTCTATACAAATTTTATATTATGTAAATATTATGATGAGTGAGGAGGAGTGTTGAGGTCATTAAATATAGCCGACGCTCTCCACAATATTTACTATAGACTACAGTAATTACTGCAACTACAATAATAAGAGTCTAGTGGAGAAGTATTATTTATCCTCTCCTCTTTTCTCTTCTTGTATATGAGACACAACCAGATCTATAGATTTGTGTTTGAAAAGCTCTCTCTCCTTAGAAACCTTCTTGTGTGACTTACTACTACTTTTGTGTGTGTATGACTTACTATTACTCTTGTGTCTTTCTAAACATTTTCAACACACCACAAGGCAGTCATGTTCCTAATGCACAATGCTGCTAAGAATGTTGAGTTCAAGAGGTTGATGATTTCACTCGTTGCTCTCAGCAGAATGAAGCACATTTTGCTAAAGAACAAAAAAAAATATTTAAAAAAAAAACAAAACAAAACAAAACAAAAAAAAACACTAACTAACTAACTAACTAACAAAATGAAAACATGAAGATATCGAGTCTGGGATAGAACAGGATTGAGCTTTCAATGGAAATTCATATCTCCAAAACTAACCTTAATCCAAAGTACACCACCACTTGACTTGATCCATCAAATGTATCAAAATCCGGGACCCTTAAATCATCCCTGTACACTTCCTGTTCCAATTCGACACTAAGGCATGAACCCTCGATATCCTCTTCACCTTGCCCTCAAGATGCAGCACACAACTACCCAAGCTCAACCCTAAGAAGGGTTCCTCCCCTGCTTTCCAACTCTTCCTGCAACTGCATGCGAATCAAACTCAATCCTAAATTTCCCAGCATCCAATTCACAGCACCAACAAAAATCCCATGAATCCCTCCAGCCTCCAACCTCCACATCCAAAACGTGTATGAATCCTCTACCAACAATCTCCCACTTCGATTACAGAGTCTCACCCAAAAACCAACAAATTGCAGATCATGTCCACGAGCATCAATGTTGCTATCAATCAAACATTCCTTTCATCGTCTCCTAAGTCGTCTTCGCAAGGTTGACAGCGTATCCACGACATGGATAAAATATCCAAAAAAGTGAAAAAAGTGAAAAAACATAATGTAATACATGGCTTCATCTAAAAGCACTTTCCCGCTGTTGGGGAGCATCAAAGGGCCTAAGCAAAGGCAGGACAAAAGTACGCAGGGGCTGGAGCATGATCGAAGGTGTGAAAAAACTGGGAGCCAGAATCAGAGCGCTTTGTTCCCAAATTCTAACTCTTTGTTAGGAACCCACTTGCGGAGAGTACCTGCCCGTGGTCCCCAAAAGCAAATTCGGTGAGAGCGAGAGTGGCACACCATCGCCTGCAGAACCTGATCGAAGTTGGAGCTCGAAATCAGCTTCACGACTGGAAAAAACATAGCAGTGCAGCTTGGACTCTGATGCGGAATTCATCGCATTCGTCGTCTTGTCCGCATGGGTCCTTCGACTCTGCTCCGTTGCCGAATCGTTGGTTTCATTCATTTCCGTTGACGAAATCGAGACGAAGGTTTTGAACGCGAACGCAGTCGATACTTCACTTCCGTCAGAAAAGGAAATAAATTTAATTACATGATTAAATATAGTTTATTTTTTAGGATTGAACAAGAGTGACTCTTATAGTTCCTTTTTTTTTTTCTTTTTTTCTAATGCATGCTTATATTCGTTCGTTGCATTAGGATATAAAGGGGAATTCTTTTTTCTTTTTCTCTGTGATTTGAAAGAGTAATTCTTCACAAATTATGAAATATTAAATATTAAATCTCAATCTACATTTTTATCATAAAAAATTATAGGCTACAAATGGATAGGATGAGAGAAAAAAGTTTCTAGGGCTAACCACTGATATTTATTGAAAAAATATTGAAATAATTAACCATTCAAATAATCAATGTAACAAATGTCTTGCTCTGTTGGACCTGTTATTTCATAGAAAATGGAAATTCCATTTTATTTGTTAAATGATCAAATAGAATTCTTATTTTTATTTTATACTTTGTACTTTCATAATTTATATTCAAATATACTCAGTCTAGATATGGTTTTTCAATAATTACACTCTTATTGTAGATGCACATAGATATGTTGCAGAGGTCCTTTTACTTAAATTAAACATTAAACTTTTTTCTTTTTCTTTTTTATACTTTCAGTCATCAAAACAATTGATTTCAAGATTATAAATTGATTGAATTGTCACCAAATGAATTATTCCCACTATTTACAAATTATATGTCATTTTTATCAAGTTGGAATATTTAAATAATATTGGTAATTGTTACTTATTTCCAAATAATTTTTAAAAGAGCAGATTAGTCTTAAAAAGTGACGACCATGTCCTTGAATTCATCTTATCTTATAAGCACCCCTATAAACATACCGACTAGTTTAGTATTATTTGTTTTATGACTACAATTTGTAGTTTTTAAACCTTCTTCTATGAAGGAATCATTCTGTAACAAACACGAGCAATCATTTAATTGTTGAAAATAATGATTTATATTTTGAAATGCAAATGTGTTTTTATTAAATTCAGGTTCCTAGTTATGAATTAGAACACATCAATGCTTACTGATTCATGCATATTTTTTTATCACAAAACAGACAAAAATCTATTAACAGTGATCAGTTAGTTTTATTTTTAGAATAAAAATAAAATGGACGAAACTTTAAAATGCTTTGTATTTTTAGATTGAGTATAGATGTATATATACACACTATTAAAAGAAGCTAGTTCAACTTCTGAATATGAAATCCATATACTGATAACATGTGATTAAATTAAAACAACTGTCAACCAAACTGTTTTTTCAGAGGGCTTCATATTGTATTGTTGCATCATATATAAATTTTACTTAATTGTTCCAGCTTCAGCTATCATATTGATATTTTCAATTGATTAACGGATGTGTGTTTATTTAAATCACAGTGATATTTGCGTCAAATTAATAATTACTACATTAGTGGGTGCAAATTCTTGTCATACTCTGAGAGATGGAGTATCAACAAACACTCAACCATGATGGCTTTATCAGTTATTTTAATTGTAAATCCAAACATAAAACCTACAAAATTAGACATTGGGTCCCATGCACATGAAAATCAATCATATGAACCTTGATGTCCAAGTTAAAAATAATTATCAAAATGTTCCTCAATTACTTATCATTCGCAATATATTTGTACGAAAAATTACATAGATAGATAAAAGTAGTAAACCTAATATGATGAATTATCCCCTATTGTTAATTCTCTTTTTCTCTTGTGTTCCCTTTAAAATCTCACCTCCCAATGGTTCATGTTTTACGTGAATTTAGTATTTATTTACATTTTATAGTTATATTTATATTTTATAGTTATATTTATATTTGGCAACTAATGTGCTCTTATTCTTCTTTTGAAGTATTGCTTTTTCCACATGACTAGAACTGCATTTTAAAGAGCACCTCTTTCTTAGCCTTTCAACGACCATTCATAGCCCTTGACAGAACCAACTATATATCATGTATATTATGATACCTTTTTTTATGGGTCCACTTTGTGTTTTCTAATAAAAGGGAGGGAGGGAGGAAAAAGTGTAAAGGACCACCTTATCATCAATGCCTAAAAAGAGCAACCTTTAGTTACCAAATGTAGTAATCAAAAACTTGAAATCCATATCAATGATGCTAATAATATTAATTATCATGATGATCAACAAACTAGAGTTGTGCAACAAACTCCATGATTAAATCAATTTGTTGCATAATAAACTTTGGTTAATGTTTGAGTTTAGATATTCATGTGTTTGTGCACCATGCTTATGATATAATTCCCACATACATGTGAGGTAAAATGACACAATTTACATGAGAAAGAGCTTGCTTTTGTTAAGTCTTGTAGATGTAGTGTAACTTATTTATTCATTTGTTTGTTTGATTACATATTAAATCAATACTATGAATCTATGAAGTATCATAGTATCCTTGTCCTCAGCATAGTTGCTGTATACAATAAAAGCACATGGACACTGTGGCTGGATCTCATTAAAATGGCCCACCAATTTACAGACAACAACAAACTGTTCTTTCCATCTCATGTTTTCATTTCTCAAGTCTTTGAAATAGAATTTAAATGAGTAAATGCAGTGCACAGTGAAAGTTACACACTCCATGTCGTGTTTTTTGTTTTTTCTGTTTGTTTGTAAAGGTGTACTTAATCACACAATCCTGACATTGACAATGAACATGATTCGACAACAACAGTAAATGATAGAAGACCAATTCTTTGGTTAATTTTACTTATTAATATTGGTTCGGTGGCATGGATTTGAATGATAATATTCATGTAAACAAAAACACTTACTAGACAATAATATTTAGAGTTCACCTCACCTAAAGTGACACATTCTACAGGTGTCAGAAGAACAAACTCAAACCACAATATTGAATTGGCAATTTGGATTTGATTCCATATATATATATATATATATATATATTGAAAGAAAGAAAGAAATTGTGTGTAGTTACAAGTAATCTTGGAGGATCTCGATTTGCTAAGATCAAGGAAATGGAAACTCTTTGCAAGTTGAAGAGGCTCTCAAGGATGGTCCTTCTTGTCATTTATTAAAAACATATATAAATTGTATTTCTACATACATTCTTATCAAGCTATCAAAGACATGTTTTCATTTATCTTTACAGATAAGATGCTTGTTGTCATATTAATGATGTAACTATTGGTGACAAGGCTTAATTTGTGCTTATTGGTATAAGAATATGTTTGAAATGAATGAAAACTTGCATGTAAAATCCCAGTGATTGATGGGTGCTGGATTATTCTTTTTTATTATTATTATTATTATTGTTTCCACCCATTCAAATTGTATATATACTTCTCAGTGCATGTGTGAATGCATATGTAAACATTACATATAATATAACTTTTAATTTACTAAATAGATGTAAGAAATAAATGGCGAAGCTATTTAAAGGCGACCCCAGTATTCAACAGCAACAAATGACGGATAACTACCCTTCTAAGAATACCAAAGTTTTGAATCACTTATTTTGCTTCCCTACGAGAATTACTATTTTATATGAATTTCAATCGTGTATAGTCGACCGTGGCCTACTTTAAACTCTAGTCCCCAATTAAAAAAACTCAACATTCCTCGGTTGTTAACAAATTATAGCAACAATCTATTCAACGGGCGAAGCGATACCGTTGAAGAGTGGAAGTTCAAACTAGTCAACGAGTGATGGATGATTTCGAAACAATGGTAACACATTCATCCATTAATCACCACATGGGTTTTCTCGTTCCCGGGAAACTCCGCCAACCGTTTTCCAACTGCGCCTTGCGTCTGCGTCTGCGGTTGCGGCGGCTATTTCGCCGCCGTGTTCAGAGTACCATATCGATGACGTTCGTTATACGTTCATCTTGATATGGATGATATCTGCCTTACTTGGTCACGTGGCTCTTGCTGACAGGAAGCGATGGGCATATCATCTATGGATGAATGTAGGCGATATGGGTGGGTTTCGAGATAAATCAGGATCTTATGTTGTCATGGGTTGCTAAACGAAGAAGAAGAAGAAAAGTATCTGATTTTCAAAGGCAAAATGTGATAAACTAATTCAGATGCCTGACAGTTTTTGGATACTTTGAAGTGGGAATTAGAATGTTTTGGGTAAAATAAAATATGTAAAATGGAGATTTCTTTTTATGACCACATATTAAAGGCTTTGTATGTTTCATTATTATCATAACCCAGTGCACCTTTATGATAAATTTTGATTTTTTACAATTTATAAGTTCATTTTTTCTTTTTTTTTTCTTGTCCAAAATTTTCATGCATTCTTTTTTATCACAAAAATATGTTAGGTTTTTGTTATTTCTTTTTACTATTTGTAACTTGTCACCCACTATATTACCTTTTTTCTAATGTTTACACGGTTGTATACTCTTCAATGTCAGTTTAGCAATATAATAAACTAAGCATGTCGTTAATTTGTACCATATTTTGATACTTTTTTTTGTATCATTAACTTTCGTATATTTACATTCTGTCAGTGATTTACAAAATCATATTCAATACACATACAAGCTAAACATACCGTGGTAAGATTTACATTTTCTCTTGTATCCTGATTGTTTCGAACTGCTGGTATTTTTCCAGGTCGAACCACAAATTCCAAAACAAGGCACTAATATATAAGCAAATGGTGGCAACCAGTTGTTGAGATTTTAAAATTATTAATATTAAAACAAGAACATTATTTAGAAATAAAAAAGACATCGACCAATCCATATAATTACACTTATTTATCATTGCAAGTGAGTATTAGATATGTAAGATAGGCCATGATAAAAAAAAAGAAAAAAAAAAGAAAAAAAAAAGGTCCAACAAAATTTCTCATGACACGAGATGGTCCCATAATGGCCATCCACTCGGCAGAATCATAATACACGGAGTCGCAACAGTTGGTACCGCGACACCCCTACGCACATCCGAGCTGGCACATTAGCGGCGCCTAGTTGGACCAAGAGGAGTTCCATTAATCCGGGGGGTCCGGGAACGGAACAGGGCGCCTGAGGGAGGGAGTTATTGATACGGGAATGTCTCTCATGTGAGTACAAGCGCCGCGTGGGAGGCCCCGCGGAGGCGCTGCTGCTGTCTGGACCGTCCGCTGGGGCTGGAGCGTCGGACTCCGACCTCTATAGCTCAATTCACGTTGCAGCTCCGGATGCTCTTGGTTGCCTGCCCGCCCAAAGTTCTCGTCTTAATACGTCCAGTTTTGTGCTTTTTTTTGTGGTTGTGGTGGAACAGGATTTGGTCGAGGGGGCCAGATCGTTTGATCGACTGCGCGGAACTCGAGCTTGTCGGGAGTGGGAGAGTGGTAGTGGCAGTGGAGTGGCCGTGTGGGACGGTTGTGACATGAAACAGAGATTTGGTCGCAGCTGCGCGGTGACTAGGTCCTGAATGATGCGTGAGTGCCGCGACTGTGCGTTAGTGCAGCGCTGCGTTTTTTTTTTTTTTTTTTTTTTTTTTTTTTCTGAGGTTGTTGTGCGGTGTTATGATTTGATTCCGAGCCTGCGTTGAGTTGAGTTGAGGTGCGTTGCGGCCTTTTTTGTGCGAGGTTTGTGGCGAGGCACGCGATTGGTGAAAACTCAGGGTCGATAGTGGAGTTGAGAGGGCCTGTGTGTGATGGTTCCCCCAGTGTTGCGTATTTTTGAGTCATCGTCGAGTTTAGTTGTCTTTAACGTGTTTTAGTAAGCTGAGCTTGCTGCTTCGTTTTGGGAGGTTTTTCAGAGTATCTCAAAGTGTGTAGGAGGAAGTGCAACTCATGAGTTTCTTCCTGTTGGAGCCTTGATGGAATAGGAATGATATTGTTGCGGCTTCACGAGTTAAACACTGCACAATGCGAGGTAGATTCCTTTGATACTGCCAAGCACATTTCTGCACAGCGTCTAGTTAATATTTCCTCACCATATTGTTGAATTTCTCCAACATCAGCGGAAATTATCGACAGCTTTTGTGAAAATTTTCACTTCACGAGCAAGACTAACTTGTAGGAGAATTTTTGCGCTGCTAAGATACTTTGCTTTAGTTGCTGAGTTGAACCGTACGTTTAGCTTCACTCTAGCACTTTTAACTGTAAATTGAAGTAGAGATGGCGGGAGTGTCGAGAACATAGTTTCTGATAGAGAAATTAACTCCAGTTTAGTTCTTATCTCACCGTTGCTTCAAGTGTTCGCGGGTATCCACGGGTCGCTTTAGCAGAACTTGAGCCGCCAAATTAAAGTCTGCTTCGCGAGTTTACTACACTAGTTGTTGACTCTGGCTTGTCATTTCCAGACACCTTTGCTCGGAATCGATCGCGTTTGCGTGGTTCTTTTGGGGGCGATGTTTAGGGTAGCTGCGTATGAATGTCACGCACTCTAATTACGCCCTCAAGTTTTACTTAATGTTAGCAAACGTGTGATGTAGATATCTGAATTATACCTTATTCTCGTTTGGAGCAGTAGATTCATGTGGTGTATGAGCATGAATCTAAATGGATTGTTATGAAGGGGAAACAGCTTGTTTTGTTAGAAGTTGGCTGCTCCAGCAATGGATTTTGTTGATGTTTAATTCAAACTTAGCATATATGCAATACCAATATTGTATTTTTTGGAGTCGTAGCACACACTGGCTTTTCGCTGATGTGCGATGTCAATTGTAATGGAAGCTACTACTTTGATCAATTACATGTAAATTCCAATCCACCAAAGTGCAGGAATCTAATATTTTCACGGACTAGCCTGCTAAGTTTATGAACTATAGTCTTGTCACCTAGAGTTGTAAGCGGTGGTCCAGCCATGTTAAGGATTGCCTCTCATGAGTATCTTCGACCTGGATGCTCTGAAGAGTTCGTGATATGGTCCTCACTATTTGTATGTGCAGGGTTGTGGAGCTTATACCTTTTATAGTTTCGGAAGTATATTTGATTGGAGAGAGGCTGTGCGAGGAACAAAGTTTTGAGGGTTGACAAATATGTGCGCGAAGTACACGATTCAATGATGAGTTCGAACATTTATACTCATCAGGTGGCTTAGTTGCATACATTTGTTTTTAGCGAAGATTCAAAAGTTTCTCTATATAACGTCGAAGGTGATACCAAGATGTGGACGCCTGTGTGTATTGAAAGTATTGATATTTTTAGCATACCGGGGCAGTCTCAATCCTGTTTGAGCTTGGTTATGTTTACAGTATATTGCAGTCTTGCCACTTTTGATCTTCTTGTCGCAATTGTGGCTGGAGTTCAGGTGAGCTTGCAATTACCAACTGTTGGGTTTGGTGTGTGTGTGTGTGTATACATGTGGTTGTATAAGGTTAGATTGTATTCCTCAGAGCATGAATTGTTCATTGAGTGTTACACTTCGATTCTTAAACGTGGCTGATGTAATTCAAAGTTTGTTCTGCACAACTGATAATTTGTTTCATTGTTTTGTGTAGCTGCTGAGGCATTACTTGCACAATAAGCGAGCAGTTTGGACGCGCCAGAAAGTGAGTCGCAGAATTCACACATTTAATCATAAATAGTGGTAGCATCTTTAAATATTGTTGTAATTTGGGGTTTGTCCATGTCTGGGCTGTCCCTCAATTATGTGTGTTGCCCCTTGTGGTGTACGACTTAATCATACTTCAGTCCTCAACTCTGAAATGTCTGTGCATGCAGGTTTTCCACTGTCTCATTGGTGCTGCGAATCTTGGTACGTATTAATATCATCTACTCTGTAAATTGATAAGTTTTGAGGCCTTCATGTCTGCACCTGGATATGTTAGAACGATTAACATGTTAGCATTTGTTGTTCTCTGTCAAACTCATTACGTAGAGTAAAATTTGCATCGTTCATCAAATGTGATCCTTGCGATTTGTTTAACAGTTGTTGGTGAATTGGCTGAGAACACACCACACAGGCGCACATTTATATGTCCACATCTAAATTGGAACCTTTTCTTCTTCTTCTTCTTATTCTTCTTATTCTTCTTTTTTTTTTTTTTTTTGTACGATTTTTTTCTTAGTGTATTTAATATGTTTTTCGTGCAAAATCCACTTGGAAAACAGGCTACGTCTTGTATTTCACCTTAACTACAGTGGCGGCATGCCTAGGATGGACATGCTTTTCAACTGCTTGCGGGTTCATCCTGATCGGTAGGTCACTCTACTTTTGGGTTAGCCTTTCCATTGCGGGTTTTTTTCAAGTTTTTACCTGTGTGTACTTATTCCTTCAGCTTGGCCCAAGTATTATGGAAAGGTTTGACTCGTCTCAATTATTACGGAAGTACTAATATAATGTGTCCCTAAATTCTCGAACTCGTTGCAGTTGAATCATTGATTGCTTGTAATTAATGCATTCCACCGCTTATAGAATATATATTGTTCCATCCATTTGCAGCAGTACCTGAAACATTGTTCTTGGCCACGTTCTTGTTACTTCTCTCTTTTTGGTAAGTGCTTACCTGTGTAATGAATTTGAAACCTTGCTATTAATTTAGTTCGTACAATGGATAACAGTTGCTGGAGCACAGTGTGATGTGCTTGTGAAACATGTAACATGCTGGGAAAAACTCCGTTTTAGGTGATTACTGAACAGGATTTGTCAGAACATTGTATTCCTGTATTCTGGCCGTAATGAACTGGTATCATGTGTAGGGTGGATTTATGCAACCAAGCTAACGATAACGAAGAAGATGATGACGAAGACATGGATTGTGGTTACACTCGATTACCCCTATCTCCTGATAGCCTAGAGTCAGGAGCATGTAATTCATTTCGGGCGTGTTTACCATGTCGACGGTGGCATGTTCGAGGACGGCAACGATGTGTACTTATAGTAAGTTACCGAATCTGATTACAGAAGTAGAAGAAAGGCTCTCTCCTTGCTATTGATATTGTATCCAGTGATTGAAGAATTTCAGGTAATATATCGTAGACATCAATTTCTTAACAGAGTTCTTGACTTTTCTGCAGGTGGTGTCGATCATCTTCTTGTTGGCGGTAGCTTTTGCTGCATTGATATGGTTTGGAATGTACGATAATCCACTAGATTCAGTGAAACTTGCTCAAGTGAGTCCATTTTCTCATTATCGTGTTGGTTCTTAGGTCAGGGTCTCTCTTTGGTTAGTCGGAGCTGATCAAATTAGCAATGGCATGTCATAGGCGAGAGATTTGTTATTTGAGAAGTCGGTTATGTGGGGAATTGAAATGTGGGCTTGTGGGGTAGTGTGTGCCTTAGCTGCATCATTTATATCAGCTTTGACCATGGTAAGTCTGTTGTGAGACCGTGTGTCGAGGACTGTTTTTTGGCTTCACGCAAGTCTGCGAAGTCTCACTTATTTACTTACAGCGTGCGTTGTAGGCTCTACGAGAACTGCTTGAGATGCCTTCTTGAGACTATATTTTAAATCAACCCCAACTCCAGTGAAGGTTATTGATCATCCGCATGGGTTTTTTTCTGCAGGTGTACGTCAATTTCTTTACACTGGTAGTATTACTCTCCGGGGGTGGTTTGGCAGGATATGGTGAGCTTCCATCTCTCTTCAGTATGGAAGGGGTGTGGTTTGGTTCTTTATGAAAGATTGAGTCTTAAACTTAGTATGCACTTTGAACCTTGAAATCTTTGTCTGTTGATGATATAGTCGTGTAGTAACCGTTGTGTAACATGACTTCTCATCTATTCAGGGTTACTGTTGTATACCAAAATGAGCAGAGTGAGGTCGGGTAGAGCTTCAGCGGACATCAGTAAGGTGCATCTTTTACTTCAATTGTGTGGGATTTTCTAACATTTAAGAGATATTGAACATGTAACTGAATTGAAGGTACATTTTTTAGTATGAGTTATTCTGAAATAGTTTCTGAGCTTGTAGGAATTATCTCAGGATTTTCATGGGCTTTCAGGTTGCGGGTTTGGCAGTTGCTTCGGTCGTGTGCTTTTCCTTGAAGGCCTCAGTGGTAGTTATGAGTGATATCATTGTAAGTGCTGCAATATACTCCTCATATGAAGTTGAAATTATACCTTGCTTTACCATCTCAGGTTGATGTGTTGTGGTATTTAGTGCACACGTTCTGGTGCAGCACATAATGTGTGTTGGTTATGCTGCAGGGTCTGAACATATGGCATGTGAAGCGTGGGAATAGTCAATTCAGCGCATCTATGATTTTCTGTTATTACGTCATAGGTATGATTATTTTAAGATTGCTATGCCATTTCATGGTATTGATGTTTTCTCGGTTTCTGAGGATCGTCATTGCGGCGATTCCAGGCAGATTGTGTCAGATATGTTGATTGTGAGCATTTTCAAAGATAAAATTTCACGGATATTAAGGTGGATTAATCCATAAGAGCATATGAGGGTTAAGCCGCTTACAATTCTGTAGATTTGCATGGTTAATGCACTCTTCTAGGGTCTGACTGGTGGTGCACACATGATGTTGACAGGGGAAACCGTGCCCTCCCTTGTGGTTCTGTGGGTGATGAGAGACCTGCCTCCAAGATCATGTGACAACAGTATGAATGGTCGTGCGACAACCCGAGAAGTGTTGATCGAAGATGCACTAGTTCCGGATCCGAACTATCTATCACAATTTGTATCCTCGGCAACCAGCCAACGATTTTTTCTCCCAAATTGTTGCAACAGTGATGTTTCTCCTACTTGAATAAGGTACATTTCTGTCATAGCATCCTGTAAAGTGCGGTCCTTGAAGGAAATCACATGGTTATGAACTTTTGTTTATTTTATGCAGTGCCAAAAAGTTGGACACATGTCTCTACTTGGCAGGCAGACCATTGGAACTGCGGGTTCAGTCATATGCGCGAACCTAGATTCAGTTAATTATTGGAAGCAAGAATTGTAATCCGACTTCAGATCATGGTTGCAATGACACACCCGACTAATTGAATTACACCTGAATCACTTGTGGCAAACCTGAAGCCAGCAGCAATTCAGAGGGATTAGCGAATTCCCGTACTGCTAGCTATTCACTGTGCCAGCGTCAGATCTGAACAAACAGAGGTCGATGTTTTCATTACAATTGTCAAATTGTATTCAATCTATCACTGACATTGCTGCCTAAGCTAGAGTGGGGATCAACCGAGATTCAAGAGGGGAGAAATTTTCTACCCAGGAATGTTCTTGAAATCTATCCCTGCCGAAGTCATGCTGAACGCCAGGCGCCTCTGCTTTCACTTTCCTTTCTGGAGAAATCAGTTTTGGAAGGAACTGTGATATTCTAGTGGTATGTGTAGAAACATACAGCAGGTCCTCCACCAGCTTTGATTTCATACGGATGATTTTTTTTTATTACCCACAAATTTTGGTGGTGTAATTGTATAAGTCAAATACTGTAATGAGGCTCTGATGTAGTTATTACTAGAAACTTTCTACCACTGAAATTGGCTGTATATTCTACATGGTACAAAACATTTCCACACATTGTACTTGCAGCATGTTCAGTTGAATATGTTTTTGTATGTTTTGCGATTAGAGGACTAATAGTAGTCATTGCATCGTTACCTATGGCGAGCCTCCAATTGAGTTACCTTACGTGTTACTAATTGTGTGTATTAGTCTTGTGCAGCTGTGTTGTTTTTGGTGCTACAAAAGATCAGTAAAAAATTGTGAAGTTGAGCATGGATAATTTTTATTTTTTTGTTTTTATCTTTTTATTTTTGCTTTTGCTTTTGATTTGTTGTAGACATTATTCTGCTTAGAAGCCATTTTTCATTTTAGTGTACATACAAATCTTTTGTTTGTTCTGTTTAAGCTTTATTTATTATTTTCTTGTTTCAAAAACATTTTTTGATGTTTCAAGATAATATTCTTATTTGTAAATCAAAAGCAGTAAGAGGGGCTTGATTTCATGTTTTAAATTTATGTGTATTAAATTTTAAATTTTATATTTTGTTGTGTATGTGTTTGTTTCAGTGTTTCAGCCATTTTATTTTCTTCACAAATTGTCAAAGAAAGGCAATAATTTGAATAATTACATTAGAGAGACTTGAATTTTCAGAAGTTTTTTCAGACCTACCAGGTTTACAAAATAAGTACCTACTTCAAATCAAGCATCTATGGTAACTCTAAAGATAAAATAATAATCTAAAAATAAGTTATACTGTCATGTGGGCTCTTTAAAGAAATTCGTAAATGAGTTTTATATTTTTAAAGATTCCACAATATCTTATATAAAAGATAGTATCAATCCTATTTATTTATTTCTTTTTCTTTTACTGTAAGAATACATTTACTTGTAGTAACAATAGCATGTTAAAAAAGTATATTTGTTTAAAACTACAAATAAACATTTTAACTTTTATAAAAAATGTTTGTTTTTATTTGTGGTTTTGTCTAATTATGGCCTTATTTATTGATCTACAATTAAATTTAGCTTCTATCTTTTTACTACATTTCTATGGTGGTGATGTATAACTCTAATTCCTTACATATTAATATTTTATATAATAGACAACTTTTAAAACAATAATCATAATTTACTAGAACTTTGTAATATTGCTTTCAAAATCCAAATTATTTAGTTTATAACTTATAAACTTTGAATCACATAAATCTTACATTAGTAACCATAATTGGAATAAAATTTTGGCAAAAATAAAAATAATATAAAAAAATTGAATAGCTTCAAATATCAAATTTAGTTATACTAAGAATACTACAAAAAGTAATATGACTATTTTAAATAGTTAAAGGAAATTAAAAATTATCTTTGATACAATATATATATATATATATATATATATTTATAATTTCAAAAATATTATATATAAAGGAAAATGTTAGAATGACCCAACCATATGTTAAATCAATCCATCCTACTGTAATCATTATTATAATCATGGCTCTCATCTCCACATTCTCTCGCCTTCTATTTCCAGCCCAAGATCTCTTTGTTTTTAGCCTTCTTCATTTCAACCCTCCATTCCCCTTTCTTCATTCTCCTTTTTCCATTCCTAGCTCTCATCTTCATCTCTCTTGTTTTCCATTGTTCTCCATAATAGGATGGGTTGATTTAGTAAATGGGTGGATTATTTTAATATTTTTTTATATAAAAATATATATTTTAATATTTTTATTTAATGATTCTTAGTCAATAATATTATTACTATATTATTATCATTATTATTTGTAATAAATTAAAAAATTTAATTAAAGATATTTCTTAATTAATATTTTATTTTTAATATTAAATTATAACATATTGATCATTCAAATACATTTATTGATCTTTCTAAATTATGTATATTATTTTAATATATATATATATATATATATATATATATTTGTTCAAAAATAATTTTTATTATTATATTAGAAAATCATGTATTTTTTGTTGTTTCTTATTTTTTCTCTTTTCAACAATTTTGACGATTCAAAATTTCAATCATTTGTAAAATTAATATAATTGCAAATCTTCAAAAAAAATGTTCTTACACATGAAGCTATTGAATATCTTCAGAAAACCTAAATTCTTTGTAAGATGTAAAGGATAAGACTTCAAAGAATGTAAATAAAAAATGAGATGTTTTTAAAGAGAGATAATAAAAATAAATTACGTAAATATGTATTTAAAAAAAAATCCAAATTTCTATTGCCAAAAGATAAGAAAATTAGAGACCTTTGAAACTAGACTAAAAGCAAAAAAGAAATTGATAAGAATGAAGAAGGACTCATTCTTGTCTCTTTATATACTATATAACTAGAAACTACGTGGTGACATTCTATAGGACCTCCAACATGTGTCCAACCTTAGTCCAAAGTCCTTAATGTAGTCACTATGTAAGTAGTCAGATAAAGGAGATTAATAATATCGATTCCTAATATGTACCACAAAAAAAGAATATTTGGATACTTGCAACTATTTAAAGGCTAAAAAAACAACTTGTGCTTACAAAACTACCAAGCTTTGTAATTCACTAGCAATCACCTCCAAATCATCATAAGTCTAATGTATTGACAAACAAAAAGTTCTTCTTAGTTATCAACCTCATAGCATTCCTATAATGTGGCTATTAATATAAACTAGTACAAATAAAAACTAGTACAAACACAAAATGGGATAACCATAAAAAACATCTAAGAACTATATCCACAATTAGGAGAAGGTGTCAAAAATAAAATCTAAAAATCCACAATGGATCCTTCTCTACAACAATACATAAATAGAAATCAAAAGTGAACTAAAGCTATCAATACCTCATTGCAATTGATGGTCACAAATTGTAGAACATGTAACAATAAAAAAAAATTGCAATAAAATGAAATATAGAGAAGAGAGAGAAAATCAAAAATTCAATTAGAAAGAAATTGGCATTTAATAAATGCCACTTCAAAGCTCCAAATATCCTCCACTTCAAAAATTGAATATGTCAATGGACTCTTTAGGCCTCTTTTAGATAAAATTGACTAAAAAATAATTAAATCTAAATCCTATATGTATTTGGAGTGAGTTTTTAAACTTAATTCTTAAGAATTTTGAATAATTTATTATTTATAATTTATTTATTATTTTTTAATGGTCTATAACTGCACATTGAATCTATGAATGTGAATCTTATCACCATGATGAGACTTTTTATTGTGCAGCCATTGTAACTATGTGTAACTTTGTTACGATGCTCGCTTTCTATAGGCATGGAATCTATTACCATAGATTGGTATCTTGAGCTGCAAAAAGAGGCTTTCTTGCTACTGTATTTTGTTATTGCTCACCATTAGTTGCTATAAGATATCAATTCTCAATACACACCTCTATCACAAATGCAAATACTTTATTCCAAGCTTCTCCACACCAAGCACCTTTGTACCAATATCCTCCTACATTATACAACTTCCACAATTCAAAATCCTACATTGTGACCTTGATTGAGATTTTTTTGTATCAAAAAATTAAATGCAAAAAAAATAAAGTAACAATGTCATAATATTCCTATCATGGGAGTTCTTAGAATGCAGACCATGATGATGTATTATGTCCCTTATGCATTGCAAGCTCTACCTTGGCACCTTATTGTTCCTTTATGGAAGCCATCTTATACGACACCTAGTATTGCAACTTGCAATTGCCTAATGCCATAAATGTGTTCACCGCAACCTGCACAAACCAACTCCTACTCTCCACATTGCCATGTCTATTTTCACTTATTTAGTAATAATATCCGATAATGTACTAAGATCCTATGACTACATTCTAGTATTATCACTGTACTCTATTGCAATATTATATTAGAATAGTGACTAGCATTGCAACATTAGAATAATACATAGTTCGATTGGGCTCCATTGTCCAATACAACAATGTCTTAAATCTAACAACAAAAATAATCTAAAATTATAATTATTTTATTTTATTTTATTTTATTTCATATTTTTTTTCATTCTAACTTGTTATATCACAAATTAAAGAGAAGGAAAGATTCTTGTCAAGTGAAAGATTAGAAATTTACATCAAATTAAGTTAAGCTACCTTTTATACAACAAAAAGAAGAATCAAAGAATGTAAGTATAAAAATAAGAAAAATCCTAAAGCTTTACTAATATGGCTAAAATACCATAGCCAAGAAAATCCTTATAACAAGTTCTTTTATACTTAAAATCACTTATAAGACTTGACTTGATAAGAATGTCAAGTCAAAAGATTTTTTTTTTTTTTTTTTTTTTTTTTTTTTCAGTATTCAAATTCTAATTGATATGAATAAAATTAATTAGTGGAAAAACTTTCAATTGATGAAAAATCACTAATCAAATTAAACTACATTTATTTGACCAGATTTGGCACCTAATGCCATATCATGTCAAAACTTGAAATTGCTTCAAATTTTTAAAAAATGAATAAAAAATGCTTATAATTTGATTCATGCAAATACAAGTAATAAATATATTTTCATAAAAAGTGAAAGAAATTTTATGGCTATTGTGTCAAAGTGGATTATAGATTTGGATTATATCAAGCATATGACACCATTTAAGTATTCATTTGATATTTATGAATATATTCAAGTCACAAATATATTCATAGAAGAGAATGGCAATGCCATTGGAATAAATTGAATTATTGTAGGTATGATTGTAAAAGATGAAAAAATTATAAGATTCAAAGATATCTTTTATATATCCAAAATGACTTAAAATCTTCTATAACTAATAAACTTAAAATAAATATTTTTATAGTCTAATTTAATATTGATGGATGATTTATAAATATATTAAATAGAGATTTAATGGCTATAATTTCAATAAAATGTAATTTTTACATCCTCAATTTCAAGGAAGTAAAAGAGTGGAAGTAATAGCATTTGTTTAATTTTCATAAATTAAAAATAAGTTTGATATTTTGCATTCTTGCCAAGAACATCTAAATATATAGTACATAATAATCTTAAAACCTTGTTAAGTAGTATAGATTTTAGTCCAAATATAATAGATATTTCTTATA